TGCACGCATCCATAGCATAGCACTTTTATTTATTTTTACCACTATGATCGCATTCCTCAGGTTATTTCTCCATCTGAAGGTGCCTCTTCAAATTTGCAGGAATTTTAATCCATTTTCAGCTAAGTGAGTACTTAGTTTTGATGATGGTACTTTAATAGTAAATTTGAAAGATAATTCTTTCAGGTGGAAACAACTGGAAATTATTTCCAGTCCTTTTTGTAGGTTGAATTTAAAACTATACAAATGGCCATTAGCTATCAATTCTAGTTCTCCTCTAGATGCGGGAGTATTGCTTCCTATTTCCCAGTAGTGGTCTAACCATTGCAACAAAACTGCCTCATGAATATATCTGGACATGCAATCCTGTGCTTGTGTATTTGTAAGTAAATCTTATTGAACAGAGTGAAACTTACTTCTGAACAAACAGGCATAGAATTCTGTTGTAAGAAACTGAGGCACAAAAATTACATTCCTGCATACTTCCGAATACTGTTTTAAATAATTCATTAACTTTTTTTAGAGGGTGGAAATTGTGTGTTATGATTTTAGACTGTTGATCAGCTCTTATTAACAACTTAGGCAGCACTTGGTTTTAAATCTAATTTCAATTTCAATTATTATATTTTTATATTGTCCATTAAAGCTGACAATAGTAGTTAAACTATACTCCCAAGTTTTTAACAAAAGCACTTGGTTCTTTTGCCCAGCATTGCTACCTTGCATCTTTTCCTCCAAGTTGTTAAAATTCTGTGATCTGCATGCTGCTCTGGAACTCAGTAGAAGAGGTGATGACATTTTCAGAAATCAGTAATGCATGTTGATAATTACATACTTGTGTTGTCCTACTGCGTGAGAAGAGCAGAATCCTTTGAGAACTAGCTAGCATAGTCAAAGATCAAACCAATTGGCCAGTAAGACAAGTGTTACATATCTACCCATCCAGACTCTAAGAATGAATTAATTCAGGGCTATTGAACGCTTATGGGCTTAACCAGTTTTATAACTGACTTTTTTTAGAATTCTCATTGGAAACAATATAAATAGCCCATTGTTCTTCCATTTTCATTTCTAAAAATTATGAAAAGAATTTAATTTTCCTCCCTTTCAGTGTACATTCAAAGGAATATACACAGAATTTTTTCTTACACAAATGATATTTTACTTGGATGGAGAAGGTCATACGTTATTCTGGAGAGAGATCTATCTGTGGCGCTTATCAGAATATCTGAAGTATATATTAAAAATCAAGATTTTGGAGGAGAAAAAGCCTTAGAATTCTTTGCTTATTTGTTTTAATAGCATTTAATTATTGAACATTTACAATTCAGAAATAAAATGGAGGTAACAAATAAGTATGGAATACTGTTGATGCTCTACATAATGTTACATTATTCATCTAGTGACCTAGAAATATTGTTAATGTATAAATATACAAAAGGCTTTCTGCCCTATATTTTTAAAATAAAGGATAGCTCTAATTAAAATAGCTGAGGCCCTAGTTCTATAGGGCATGGCTGTTTAATATTTTTATGGCTCAGATGATTAGTTCAAGAAAAAGCAAATGCTTGTATATATTTTTGCAGTCTGGAGAAGTGTAGCTTATTCATACTTTTAATTTAAATAGCTTTTTGTTTGTCTTTACTGGTGCATTACAAGGGGAAGTGGGGGCTGGATATCCCAAGCACAAAAAGTATTTTAAACAGTCAAAACTGAGAATATTCAACAAACGGAGTCTTGACCATGAAATATTTGTTAAAACATTTATTGTAAGCATTGTGCTAGCAATATTTCTAAAATCAGAATGGAAAATCACTTTTGAGGTCCCTTTGCATTGTAATTTTTAAATTTTGTTCTTATGCCTTGTTATGTTGCAATAATAAAAGTCATTTGAGCAGTTTGAATCTCTTTTCATTGTGGGAACCTGAAGGCTTGTGGAAGTATGGTACTGTTGCTGGGTGGAATGGCTTGAACTGTGACAAGATTTTTTTGCTGCAAAGAGTAGGATTTTTTCATTATAAACTAATTCAAAAGTATGTGGCCAGCAGTCAACAGTTCTTCCACATGAATATAAGAACATAGCAATATCTCTAAAACATTAGTTGTAAAAATTAATTTCTATTATATATGTTTCAGTCTGAATATTCTTTAAGCCTTTTATTTCTGGAAAGATCATGACAGGATACATGAAATGTATATTTCCAATTTTTACTGGGTGAAATTTCATCATCAATTATTTTCATTGTGATGTTTACCAGATCACATTAACACATTCTCCAACAGAATTCAAATTGAAGCTGAAGATTAAATTGAATCTATTTGGTATCTTCAGCTCTTATTTTGAGAAGAAACTGTTCCACATTTCTTTCCCAGAATTGCAAGAGAAATCAGAAGCACTAGATTGTAAAATGCTATACTGCAAGCCCAATATTAAATCGTTGTCAAAGTATAAATTCATATACTCAGGTAATTGTAACAATAAAAATTGTTCAAGAAGTCAAATTTCTAAAAAGTATTTAAAAAAATTATGGTCTCATTCTTTGCATGTTGTGACTTTTTCTTCCTGAAAGTTTCTCTACTGTTCAAAAAGTGACAAATGAGTACATTCAGGGGAGGGTTGGAAACCAAACACTAAAAGGAGTGATTAAAGGATCTGCATATTCAGTCTACGTAAAAGGTGAGTGGGAGACTTGAAGCAGTGAGTTCTTCACCAGAGATTTTCAAAAAGATATGGAATAGGTGTCACCTGGCTCAATAGCAATTTATGAGAGGGACCAAAGTGTTCTTGAAGACCACTATTTTAGTATGAACCAGCAGTGTGCTGCAGCTGCCAAAAAAGCTAATGCAGTCCTAGGTTGCATCAACAGAGGGACAGTTTCAAGATCATGAGAAGTGATGAGTACCACTTTTATACTGCACTGCTAAGACCATATTTGCAATACTGCATCCAATTCTGGTCGTCATGATACAAAAAAGATGTTGAGACCCTAGAAAGAGTGTAGAGAAGAGCAACAAAGATGATAAGGGGTCTGGAGGCTATAAACCATATGATAAATGATTAAGGGAACTAAGTGCCTAGTTTTAACAAAGAGAAGGACTAGGAGTGATCTTCCAGTATGTAAAGGGCTGTCATAGAAAAGAAGGAATCCGACCTACTCTCCAAACTACATAAGGACAGGACAAAAAGTAATGAGTAGAATATTAAAGAGATCCAAACTAGAACTAGGGAGAAGTTTCCTAACAGAACAATTAACCGAACAGCTTTCCCCTGGAAGTTGCAGGTGCTCTATCACTGCAGGTTTTCAAGAAGAGACTGGACAGCCATTTGTCTCAAATGGTAGGGACTCCTGCTTGAGCAGGGGATTGGACTGGAAGACCTTCAAGGCCCCTTCCAACTCTATGCCGTATGTGTCACAGATGCTCTAGTGCAGCTGGCTCAGGAATTCTGGGAGTTGAAGTCCACGAGTCATAAAAGAGCCAAGGTTGACTACCCCTGCTCTAGTGGATTCTGCATTGAGCTCTATAATTTATATTCTATAGATGGGAAGTTCTGAACAGATAGAGAAGTACTTCATAAAGTCTATAGCTGAACTAAGAAACTACTGGATATGACAGCTACTAGTCTGTATTTATTAAAAGATTTTTAAACTTTTAAAACTTACAGAAGAAAAATTACTAACGTATATCAGCATATATCACAATTACATATTACCTCCAGTTCGCCTTGAATGCCAGTGGGCAAACAAAAACAGGAGGTGCTTTTATGCTACTAAACTGCTTTTCACAGGCACTAGTTGGTCACTATAGCAGTGGTTCTCAACCTGTGGGTCGGGACCCCATTTGGGGTCGATCGACCATTTCATGGGGGTTGCCAAGCAAGGCTGTCCGCCATTTTTTTTGTCCGCCATTTTTCCCCCCCTTTTCCAGCAGGTGCCTTACCTCCCTTGGGCTGGGCCAGCTGATGGTCGGCCTGCTCCATCTCTGCCGCTTGCCAGCTACGCCTCGGCCGGCGCAGGGGGTGGAACCACGCATGCATGGTGCTCCCGGGCAGGGAAAGTCCTTGACTTACGACCGGTTGGGTAGTCCTCGACTTACGACCGGTTTGGTCCTCAACTTACGACAGGTTTAGTCCTCGACTTACGACCGGTTGGGGTCGCGGCATTAAAAAGGTTGAGAACCACTGCACTATAGGAACAGAATACTGGATTTCACAGAACCCTGTTTTTCATCCAGTGAGGATGTACTTCTATTGCTGTCATAGTATGAAGATTTGGATTTGAAGCATTTTTAGAAAAAAAATCTCATTGGAACTCCCATTTATAAAGCATCTGTCATGAAAACTGGAGCATTTGTCTCTACTTGAATCCATAGAGGGCAAAAGGAGACTTTCACAGAAGTAATGCATATCTTCTAACCTTGGCAACTTTAAGAACGTGGACTTCAACTCTGCCGGCTGTGGAATTCTGGGAGTTGAAGTCCATACATCTTAAAAGTTGTCACATTTGAGAGAGAGAGGTTCCCTTAGGATGGGCTCCAGCACGAGTCCGAAATCGTGGAAGAATAAACCTCTGGTCTCGGTGACTGACAGATTGGATCCTACAGTATACCTTCCCCTTGACTGACGGAGAGGCGTCCTCAATGTATTTTCTCAACAAGCCATTCTGTCCCAAAGCCATTCAGCTTCACTCCCGGGACTTTGAACCTGGCTCTGCTAGCTATGATTTCAAAACACCATCGAATACATCTGTTTATTCTGCATTTATCGTTTTGCTTTCTCCTTTTATATCAAGCTTTGCCCTGATTAACAGCAAGCATGCCTAACTAACCTTCAATTCTATCTTTGCGGCGTGCCTTTCAAACGACGGCCCCTAACCTCTCCCCTTTGTGAACATTTCGATACAAGGGGGGGGCGCTACGAAAATTATTCTTGATCCCTACCCTTCAGAACCCGCCTTCCGCCTGCGTCGATTGGTTGGATTAGGTCTCAGCCCTAAAACAGTCTGAGAATGGCGCGCAGGCGCGCAGGCTTTCAGGGCTTCGGCTGCGGAATCAGCTGGCGATCCTTGGCTTAAGTCTTTCCTTTCTTTTTTGCAAAATGGTAAGGAAAGGCGGGGGGAGGTCGGTGGATCGGTGTAGTTCACCGTCTTTGCTTCGCCCTTTAAAATTCTGAGTGGGGAGGGAGTGGGATCGAGACTCGGGCAGAGTCTTCCGGGATGCGATGGGATGACCAAGGAAGGGTGAGGACCCCACCACCACCACCACCTTGGGACGCAAGTGTCACCCTTTGCTTCTCTCTATCTTTGCGGCGTGTCTTTCAAACCACGGCTCCCCGATTCCTCAGCCCATAGTCTCGTGGGATGAGGCGAGGCGTGTCTTGTCATTGCTTTGCCCAGCATACAATCGCTTTCCTGTGTTCTGAAATATGCCTTTTAGCTGGCCTTTTCACTTCTGGCTTGCTTACCCAATAATTTAACTATGATTTTCTCAAGCAAGTTTTCCGGTTTGCGCTGTAAATTAAGCACTAGGGCTGTTTTTTCACAGCACACGAGAAAATTGTAATGTGACTGGCTAGTTCGTGATGCATTGTGTCCCAAAAGAGCAGCTGTGATGGGTCCCATGTATATATGTCCAGCTGTCATGTAGGAACTGGTACCCTGTGTAATATGCAGTGATCACCTTTAGTTGACAGCTGAATCTTGTGAATGTGCCAATATAAAATGTAGTTGGGGATGCTTGTGGTCTTGAATGTTGGACAAGTCCAACTGTTGTGTTATTGTGTTGTGTGATCCTAGCCATTATGCTGAGTCATAATATGGATTGTTTATTTGGACCTTACATATGTTCTGTTAATTCAGCAACAGTAGCAAGTGACACAAACTTGTGTGTCTTGGTCAACAGATCAGCCCTTTGATCAGTTTTGTGATCTTTTCTAGCAACATTTCCCACTATAGGCCCCGTTTGCTGAAAAGCAACCAGATCTATATACAGTTCTCCAAGAATGGTTGGTTTGTCAGTTTCTCTTAAAACCAGTACAGACTCTTGTTATCATATCGATATTGCTAATATCAAATTTAAAAAAAAGAGGAACTTGTTGACATAGTTGAGCCTATTATAATGTTTGCAGAAGAAGGTCTCTTCAAAGATTTCTTTGAGAAAGCCAAAACTCAAAGATTTCAGTGAGAATGAATTGTGATCAATATCTATAAATAGTGTTTCCAGAGAAATAAATCCTCACACTATCAGAAAGATATCATGGCACTATTCTGGTTTCCATTATTTAATCATTTATTGTCAGAAAGAAAAAAAAGTTGTTCTAACAGATTCTAATGGAAAACAGTGTCAGCTACAGGAAGTAAAATTCCATGAAAGTAATGGCACAATTAAAAAACATCTTCACATACTACTTATGTAATGTCTTGATTATCTAGTTGAAGTGAAGCATTCTTTTTAGAAGGAGGATATGTTTCCTGTGATATTTTCCCACAGATTTCAGTTGCTCTTATATATGTTCAAAATGACTTAAGCTTCTGTGCCTGCAGAGTCCCAGTGTAGCAGATTTGCTTCTCTTCATCTCTCTGTCCTGGTGCAAGCTAAACTCAATTTTATGCTTGATTCACCACTACATCTTAGCCTGAAGTAGAAAACAGAAACAGGAATCTTATAATGCATTAACAAGCATTGTCTTTAGCTGCATGTTTTCTTATTAAAATGAGTTTATTTCCAAAGTATATATCCTGCTTTTTCAAGTGCATTTATATAATATAGCAACTGGTATGTCCTTCTTTGAACATTTCTGAAGATGTCTTTTTTTTAAATGTTCTTAGCATCCATCCCAAACTTCAGCTCACTCTTTTGCTTTCCAGATACTTTTTCTAATTTGGAGCTACTTTTTCCTTCTGGCCTTCTTTCTTTCCTCTTCCTACATTTGTCCATTTTGGTTTTCAAATCTTCCCCAAGCTTTTTTTGTAGTTGCATGAGTTGGTTCTTCCTTTTTACTTCATTGGAATTGTGGACAATCAATGTTTTTAGTTATTTCCTTTTTTTAAAAAACAAATTCATGTTTACCTTGTTTACCTCTAACTTTTTGTTGAATTATATTTATCATTTGCTCTGAATCTAAATTTGCTTTCTTGAAGTTTAGAGTATGTGTTTGATTATTTTAGCTTTAATTTCTGTAAATATAAAGAATTAAAAGCATTACATTTTATTTTAACCAATGTTTTCTGCTGTTTCTATTTTGTCTCCAAGCTGGGTTCCTGGAGTTGTCTTAATCTGGTTGTTTTTCTCCAGATGTTCTCCAGATCACTACTTGAGATCTTGGGCACTGATGATGTTACCTAATCTCAGAGAACATTAAGAACCCAACCATTCAACCCTGAGCTTTGTATATATATATATATACAGTATATAGTCTCTACTACTGTCTCCTAAGTATAATTTCATCCCTCTAAAGGTTTTTAGGTTTCATCTGTGTCAGCATGTCATTGCCTCTAAAGGAGGGATGCTCCACATGCTGACTTTGCAATTATGTGTTCAAATCAGCATTTAAATATTTGCATTGCATTTTCTAAGATGAATCCTGCAAATCCTTTCTCAGAAAGAAATTATCCCCATATGTGTGTGAAAAGACCCTTATACTCAGAGGGAAACTGAGCAAGCAAGATTTTACCACTATACATATCCTATAGGTGTGAAGCTTTGAGTGCAATTGTTTTTTTAAAAAAAACCTACTAGAAAACTACAGGAAACAAATGTCTGGCATCCAAGGCTTATTTACAAATGATGGGAGGAAAATTATGGGTTTAAGAAAAGCAGGCATTGATATGGCTGTTCCCAAAATAGCTGTGCTTTTGGCTTAGTATTTAAGAAGTGTCTCTTTGAATCCTTTTAGGCTTCTTCTGTATCTATATGGCTTAGCACAGAGTATGATCCAGAAACAAAATTGCACATTTCAAGCTGTTATTTTTTTTCCCCTCCCAGGCTGAGGTAGAGGAAACACTGAAGCGAATCCAGAGTCAAAAGGGAGTCCAAGGGATCATTGTTGTGAATTCAGAAGGTGCTGTGACAGCTAAGTTGATGTGAATGGAATCTGCCCTTTGGTAGCGCATAAGCAGTGTGGTTTGGGATTAGGAAGCACTTGGGGACTCAGACATGCATTATGAAACCAAGGCTGAAATTACATGGCTGTTAGGGAGGAAGTGAATCGCACTGTATCAAAAGCCTTTGACATTATTTTGAGATTGTGCTATCTCTGATTATTAAAATGGAACAGTGTGCATTCATTTAGTATCTTCTTTTAGAAATTGTGTAAAACTTTCTGATTTAAATTTATTTAAAAACATTTATTGAAGTCTTTTCAAACAGCCTCCTCAATACAGTTATAAAGCAGCATTTTAAAATCAGTGTAGTGTACAAACCCAAGCTATGAAAGCAGCCTAATATAAAATAACTATAATAAACTGTAACGTAAGATTGGCTTCTGTTAATTTAAGAGCATATAAACCAAATAAATTATTATTTGATTAAGATAGGTTGCCAAACAGATTTTGCTTAATAAATGTTTATTAAGCAAGAAATATATAGCAAGCAAGGAATCTGGAACATTTAGCTCTTCAAGATCTTTTTAAAATAGCCAACAAGTGATCTATGTGTATACCCTGTGTAGAACTTTAAATATTCTTCCTCCCTGTGATACGTCTACAGTGATAGGTCTACAGTGCATTGCATTGTATGGTTTGGCCCTCGTTAATATAATAAGGCAATTGTGTCTATACATCTTTATTAAAGAAATGCATACTGAATCTGAAAGGAAAGGTTTACATATGTACTTGCTATATGCCACTTGTTTCATAACAGCAATAGGCAAAGTAGATTGGGATTTAAAACTTCTTAAATTAAAAGCTTATTTTAGAAATTTAATATACCATTTCTGACTATTTCAAATAAAACTTATAGTACATACTATCGTTTTGTTCTACCTTTCACTTTTTTTAGGGATAGATTTAGTTGAGGCTGAAAGAGAAAACTTCTCCATACAATCACTCAATCAGTACTGAGCCCTGTTAGCCAATGTGTGCAAAAGGACTATTGACTGCTATCATATTTGTAGAACAGGCATGTATGTTTATCTGTTTATCTCAATTTTTTTGGCCACTGATCTCAGCCTCAGTTTTCTGGGTGCTGAATGGCAATTAAGAACATAAATCAGCAACCAAAGTAAAAACCATCCCATTGGTTCTGTAAGACTGATCTAAATCTTACCAACATATAAAGAGGTTCTTGTTAAATAATCAGTACTAAAAACAGTGCACTGTGTCATGTCTTACATCCTTGGATATTAAGTTGCATAGAGTCATCTGGGAGTTGGGCAGCCTGCAGATCTAATGAACCAAATTAAAAAAAAACACATCTGGGTGTTTGGTTCTACTCTTCATGACACAGGATAATGGAAGTGAATCATGTCTCAATTAAAAGCAATCTTTCTAAATCTCAGATATAAGGTTGTTGCTGTTCATTAGGCTGGAAGGGACTATCAAACTGTTGCCACAGTCAGGCTGATAGTGTGGAAATGGAGGAAATGCAACACCAGTTGTTCCTCTTCCCAGGAATTCTCATTCAATGAAAATCACTCCACCATCATGATACTTTGAGAGGTCATAAAGAATCTCAGAGTAGTAGCAGAGGAATGTATAAGAAAAACAGTGAACAGGAATTCTGTGCGAATTCCAAATTGTTGAGATAAAGCGGTCATATGAAAAAAAAACAGGATTTTATATCAAAACTGTTCAGTAAAAAATGGAGATCTCAGGATTTTCTGATCAAGTAATGTCTTAAATAATTTATCCCGAGAATCCTTTTGCATTCTGCAGGTATCCCCATCAAAAGCACCATGGACAACTCCTCCACAGTACAGTATGCAGGCTTAATGCATAACTTAATAATGAAGGCAAGGGGCACTGTCAGAGACATTGATCCCCAGAACGATCTTACATTCCTGCGGATTCGCTCCAAGAAAAATGAGATCATGGTTGCACCAGGTAAAATTAAAAGGGGGAAAAAGCTCTTTTTGAGCCTCTGGTAGAGTTGTCTCCAAATGTAACAGCAATAGGCAATCTATCTCTGTGCCAGTTTTTCTTATAAGATTCAGATAAGAATGGGTTTTAAATCGGGTCCCCAAACCTTGGTCGACAGTCCGTTCAGAACCGGTCCATGGAAGTGGTGGGCCAGTGCGCTCATACGTGCAACTCCATTTGCAGTGCAGCAGGCGAGTGCACACACATGGATCTCCATTTGCACGAGCAACAGGCACATGTGTCCACCATTTGTGCAAATGGAGCTGTGCGCTCGCACAGAACCATCCCCTTCCCCCTCCACCAATCCTCAAAGCTCGAAAGATTGGGGACTACTGTTCTAAACGTATCAGTCTAACTATGCTTCATTTTAAGAAATAATGATGCAGTAGATTGCTTTTGGCCTGATCTGTTTTAACAACTCTAATGTTTGTAATATGTGAGTGAATTTTCTATGTAGTTTATTGACTTAACTTGTTTCTTTATGTTCAGCCTTTTCTTGTGCCTTTATTTCTTTGGGTTATTATATCGTATTCTCTTTCTGTATTTTGTATAACTGTGCTTCCAAAAAGGAATTGGCATGAGGAATGTGTTTTTATTTATAATCTTTGTTCAGTATTGTTTTTTCCAGCTAGTATAGGTAGTTCCCAACTTACAACCAGTTACTTAGTGACCATTCAAAGTTATGACAGATTTACCTTGGATTCAAAGTTCCAATTGTTGCCTCCCCCTATGGTCACAGGACTGACCCTTGGGCATTTGGCAATCTGGCCACATTCATGGCTGTTTGCAGCATTCTTCAGTCACATGACTGCATTTTATGAAAGTTTTGCTGAAAATCAGCACTTCCATTTTTTAGCAAATCTATGCCCATTGTGAACCATTCTTCGCTTAATGACCTTGGCATTCACTTTATCACTGCCATGTTTGGTCAATGACCCTTACAAAACAGGTCATAAACTCAACTGTCATAAACAGCACTTATGACCATGATAGGCAGGCTCCATTACAGTCGTAAGTCAAGGACTATGTGTACTATATTTGCAAAACCTCATGAAGAAGTCCTTTTCAGCATGTGCCACTAACCAAATTTCTTTGTAACTGATCATGCCTGGAAGGCACATAATCTCTGTCTACAAAGCAGTTGAAATAGTGTAACATGACACAAAAGAGTTATTATGAGTTAACAGTAACAACCAAATATTGAAATATAATTGCTTTATATTTTTGCAGATAAGGACTATTTCCTGATTGTCATTCAGCATCCAACAGAATGAAAACTTCCCCAACTGGCCTGCATTCCTTCTACTTTTTTATATATTTTTATTTAACATTGATAATTATTGTCCATGATAATGTCTGAAAGAGGTTCCTTTCTTAAAATATTAAAGATTTAAGGAGTCTGTTCAAGTTATTCAAGGGTTACCCCATGGAGAAAAAGAAACATGAAATCAAAAAGATAATGAAAGATGGAAGTTTTCTTTAGCAAATTATAACTAAATAACTTTGTTGAAAATACCTTTAGTAATTGTAAATCATTCTTCCTTTTTGTCGTCATTTTATTTTGCACTTGTTTCTTTTAAAGCAAATTAAAATAATCAAGCAAACCTTTGTTGATTTCAATAAAGTTTTTTCATGCTTTTCGAAGTATTTTCCTCAAAATTCATGCCATTGCAATATTTCTCAGTCTATAATATTTGGTGTATCCTTTCAATCACATCCTTCCATTATTGGTGTCAGTAATATGGAAAACAATTTGTTGGTCACTTAATCAACCTATTGTGAAGTAAATCCTTTCTGTACAAGATACATACACCTGCCCTAAAAGCAAAGTGCCTACTGTATCTTTCCAGGTTTATCTTTCAATCAGTGATAATGCTGTACAATCACTAGGTGGCTCCCTCCCCAAACAAGAGGGCTGGCAGCTTTCTAATTTCAGACAAACTAGCAAACCCCGTCCTATAATTTTGCCAACAATTACTAGCAGTACAGGAAAAACAGTGGAAAAATCAAATCTCCTTGAAGTCAAACTTAACTCCTTGTGACTTCACGAACATAGTTTTCTTGAGAAAAGTTCTTAAAAGATTTGTCTCTGACAGCATTTAAAATATTTTTTAAATGTCCAGTGTAGTACAGTCTGGGTGTTTCCTAAAGAATTCCCATTCAAATACTCACCAGTTCCAGCTTGCTTAGCTTTTGACTTGCTGAAGCTTCCTTGGAAAAACAACCTTGATAACCTTTGCAGCTGAAAACTTTGCTAGGTCAATGACTGTCTTTTTCAACAAGGCTAATTCTTTTCCTGGAAGACATAATTCAGCTGTTGAAAAACTGAAGCCAAAATGGTAAATGGCACTGGTTTGATTGAATCGTTTTAAAATGTCCATCTAATCCAGGGGTGTCAAACTGCCGGCCCGCAGGCCAGATGTGTCATGGCGAAACCGCACCCACCCCATTGCCGGCAGTGGAAAAAAAAGTCGCAATACGTCGTGACATGTCACGTGATGTTTCAAATTTGACACCCCTGATCTAATCCATCAGACAAAGTCATAATTGCCACATTTCAAGTTACTACAATAGTCCTTGGTTAGTGACCATAATTGGGACTGGCAAGTTGGTCACTAAGGGGAAATCACATGCCTACAACTTCAATTTTACTAAAGGGTTGGAAATTCAACTTAACTGATATGCAGCACCAATGAGCTGTTGGGCTGACCAGTTGAAAAGACAAAAAAGATTACAGCTTTTATAAACAAGCGGAAAACTAATTATATAAGGCAGTTGAAAGACCTACACATTCCAAGCTCATACACTGGTAGATGTTGTTTATAGGAACTCAGCAAAGATTAATGTTTAATTTCTAAGCTATTAAGTGTTCTTGGCATAGCTACTTAGCCTAACCTACCTCAGGTTCTTAGAATAAAGTGGGGAGTAGCCTTCTCAGTAGCTAGAAGCTATAAATATACTAAGTGCATGTGAGAAGCTTCTCTTCAAATCCTTCTCATCCAGAAGCCTGAACTAGAGTTCCACTTTGTCTTCTAATCACAAATATAAATAACTGTTCCTCAAAACTCATTCTATGTTGAGACCCCAAAGTTGTTTTTCCAAAAGGCAACTGTACTTTCTTGGGCTTTTTCCTTGACAACTTTTTGCTTCTCATCCAAGAAATTTCTTTGGTTCAGACTGAGAATCTCCATAGACATTCTGTGATGAGAATATTCTCCCCATGTTCAATGTCATTTCCTGGGTGTTCGGGCAGGAGAGATATATGGCTAAGCATCAAGATGTTTATCAATGTAGAAACAAAATGTGAGAGCATTTGGATTCTTCTAAGTTTGACTTGGAAGGTCATCTTGGATTTAATTCAGCAAATCTGCAGCATTTTCAGTTAATCGTAACAAAGACAGCCTTATATATCAAATGCATGTGATCCACCAAAGCTTATACATATGTTAATTTATATGTATATAAATATGTTGATTTTTAAGATGACACTTCTGCCAGTTTTTCCAGTTGTGCTGCAGTTGAGTAACATCCAACTGAAACTGTTCAGGACTGGTTCAAAGAGAAGTATTAATTATAATAAATTGCTATTAATTAAACGAATAAACAATGTCGTTTCAGGGATTATTTCTAGATGAACTCCTGGCAATGTTTTTTAATAGGGGTGTGTGTGTGTGTATGTGTGTGCGTGTGCGTGTTGCCCATTATCTGCGGACATCTGCCCTTCATGCATATTCTATAACACCCTCCGGGATTCGGCTTCATTCTTTCTCCTGGGGAAGCGAGTCTGCTGCCCGAGGGCGTCAGCAAGATCGCCGAGGGCAGCCTGGGGCTGAGGCCGGTGCGCCCCTGGCAACGAGGCCGCACTGCAGAAGGGGCGGGATCGCGCGCCTCCCCTTTAAGGAGGTTGTGGGATGAAGTCACCGCTGCGCTGCCACCTTCGGGGATCGGTGTGGCTCAGCTATCTGATCGGGAGCAGGCGGCGGCGGCCGACCGAGGAAGAGGAGGCGCGCGTCGCGGCGTAGCTGCAGTTGCTTTCGGGGGCTCCGGAGACGTCCCCTGCCCTCCCGAAGCGGGGTTATTTGTTTTGTTTTTAGTCTAACGGCGACCTTCTCGTCCGTGCTAAGGCGCGGTGGTCTCGGTAGTGCCCGGTTCCCGGCCGCGATGCCTTCGGACCGGCCTTTCAAGCAGCGGCGGAGCTTTTGTAAGTCCTGGCTGGATTTTTTCCGGGAGGGGGGGGCGGGGAGGGGGGAAAGTCCTAGCTCTCTGGAGAAGGCCCAGCGGCTGGGAAAGAGGCGCAATGGCTGGTGTCCAGGATCATCTCCCAGCCATCCCCGTCCTCTTGGGAAGAGTACCGGAGGGCCGAGTCCTTGGGAGGCCGGGGTCGTTTGGAGACAGGTGCCCAGCGGTGCCGTCGCCGCCGCTGCAAAATTTGGGCTCAGAGGATTCTTGTTTGCTTCTCTATTTTCCCCGGAGATGCTCCATTCCCCCCCCCTTACCACACCCATCCTGGAGGGTTTGGCGACCCGGGTTGGGGGGAAACGCGGCGGGATTTGAAACGAGGGGATACGTGTGTGTGTTCGCCTTCACGGTGCCCTCTCTCCACATTTACCTTCACCCTGTCACTTCGATGGGAAACCCTCGACCAGCGGGGACGTGTCCGATGGGGGACGAGGGGCCTTGTAGTCCTACACATTCAGAGGGCACCTCCTTGGAGAAGACCAGTGGAAAGAAGAATCTGGCCGCCATTTGTTTGCACCTTTTAGACTTCGCTGCTAGCCAAGAAATGTTTTATTTATTTATTTTTGTCAGATCGAAATACATTCGGCCGTGCTTTTAAATAATAATTATCTCCTCGGTTCGGCGCTTTGTCTTGGTTACAAGAATGCACAACGCTGCTTAGCTCTTGCATTTGCTCCTTCGGGGGGGTGGGAAACTGGATGCCTGCCTAGCTTTGTGCGTGCCAGACCCTGATAACAGTAGTATCTTGACATTGTCTCTTGTTTTCACGATTTAGTCTTGGTTGATTTAACCCTGATTTCCACAACTCGGGGTTGAGGTGCCAGTCTACTCCGGGCTGGGTCGTGCAAACCCTCCTCCTTGCTGCAGGTTCACGCCCTTGGAGTAGGGTTGCCAGGTCTGCTTCCAAAAAATAGCGGACAAGCGGGGGGGGGGTTTAAGTAGTAAAAAAAAGTAGACTGTACAGCTTTAGATTACGTACCATTTCATCATAAAGCTTTTGAATAAAAAAAAATGTCCACTATTTTGTGAAAAAAAATAGTGAACATAATGTGAAAAAAGTGGACTGTCCACTCAAATAGTGGACACCTGGCAACCCTACCTTGGAGATGACGAGGGGGGGTACCCAAAATACTGCTTTAGTTGCNTTGAGAAACACTGATGTAGGACCTTGTGTAATGATAACTTGGAGGCAGTCTTCACTGCTATTGTTTTCTTTTCACCGTAAAATAATATATTTTTTAAAAAAAATCAGAAACCATAAGTTCTTGACTTCCCTCCCTTCTAGCCCCCGAGGATCAGAATAAGCAGAGGAAATTATGGTGCGGAATGTGGGTGCAGTTTTGCCTCTATGCAAAGGTAGAATCCTCAAAGCTACTAAGGAGGTTTTAATCCAACTGCCTTAAAACTTGCCTCAGGCGTTGAAAACACATTTTACAGCACTCTTTACACCCTCTTTGAGTATTGGTCATTTTAAACTACAGTAGTAATTTAACTTAGATTTGTATTATTTAGTTTTTAGGTGTTGCCACTGACTTTTGGAGTGACAGTACTTTAAATATAATGCTGACCATCTCTTGGTCTCTCTCTGGACAAGTGCCTGCTCTTTTCTTGGCAAGATTTCTGAAATGGTTTGTCATTGCCTACATCCTAGACGTAGAGCATTTGGCTTGCATGGGCCACACTGAGTGAAGAGGAATTGTCTTGGGCCACAAATAAACTACTGTATATGACATAGTTCATTATATAAATAACAAACTTTACTTTTTTAGTATTTTTTGTATCTTATGGGACCACATTACTAACTGTCCAGGACCACACGTGGCCTGTGAGCAGTGGGTTGGACATGCCTGTCCTTGAGTTTAGATTTTTTGAAAATCTATTTGTTATTAAAAATCAGCGTATGTTTATTTCAAGTACCAAATTTAGAGGTATTGTATGATATCAGAGGTAAAATTTAAACAAGGAGATTTTTATATTCTGTAGCAGTAGAGAATATTGTGCCTTCTAAATGTTTTGAATTGTGGCTTCTTGCATTCTTCAGGGATTATATTTAAAATAATAAAAAGTTCCATTGTAAAGTCTTAACAAATTTATAACCCTATTAGTTTTTCTGGTTCACTGTCCAGGGAAGAGTATTTTACATGTACTTCTATTGTTGGAAAAGATGAAGGAATAATAAAACAAGGAATAATAAAGCAAGAGATCAAAGGAAGAGGAAATGTGTAAAAAATACCTTTAGATAGTGAGCATTCACAATCTAGTTATTGGACATCATCCTATGGGCACTTTGTCACCTGCATTAGGATAAATACTTTGGTCAGTTTAATTCAATGCAAAATAGTTTATAAAGATTTACCGTTAATTGAGATTAGCCATTGTAATTCATTTCTTCATGCCCTGGGGATAGAAGTTGCAATACA